ACACACACACACACACACACACACACACACACACACACACACACACACACACACACACACACACACAAATATATAATATATTGACTTCACACTTCTACCATTTTAAATATTGCCACCTACAGTTCTATTTGAGATACAGGTGTGTTATGCTAGCAACAGCTATAGCCTTGGTCTGCAGGGATGCAGGGGAGCAAACACAGATCTAGAGAGTTCCCATCACCCCATGTTACTCTCTGATCTGCCATCTGGAAAAGCTGACACTGACAAAATGTAGCTGGCTGTAAAAAGAAAGGTTGAAGATTAGCTACACTGCTGCAAATGTTGAAAAAGATGAAGCCCTTCCTCAGTGAAAGAAGCAGAAGGAAAACATCAACATATATCCTCGTAATCACAGTTGTTTATTTTTATTTTCTTTGTGAAAATCCATTGAACTAGAGTCTAAATTTAAGTGTGTGTGCGCATTTGTGCATGTGTGCATGTCTGTGTGTGTGGTCTACATCACTCATGGTTGTAGCGATCTAGATCTGTTTACAGTCACGTCATAGAGACTTAATCTCCTTATGGGGACAAAAAGCAAGTAAATTCAACATTTAAAGGTTCAGTGTGTAGAATTTTGTGATATCTAGTGTTGAAGTTGCATGTTGCAGCTGAACACCCCTCACCTCACCCTCTCCTGTGGTAGCTTCAGTTGTCATAAAAACTCAAAAGGTGTTTAGTTTGTCCAGTTTGGACTAATGTAAAAAACATGGCAGCCTCCATAGAGAGGACCCCCTCCATGTAAATATAAAGTATTTAAATATAAATGGTCTTTTCTGGGGAAAAGAAAACTACAATTCATACAATTTAGATGAAATGAACTAGTGAAAACATCATGAGGATTATTCTACATTAAATTTCTGCCAAAAGTTCCCTTTTACCTAAATCTTACACACTGGACCTTTAAGGTGAAGATTCAGATTATGCTCAGGTTTAGTTTTTTGTCTATATTTAGGTCTTGGTCTAGGATTATGATTAGGTTCACGCTAAGTCTAGGTTTACAGTAGGGGTCAGGGATTGGGGTTTACTTTAACTGCACTTTAATGCTGAAGAACCTGGAGCTCTGACTTTGACATAAATATCACTCAAGTCAATTTGATTAACGACACAGACATCAGAGAACAAGTTTAATCAGCTGATCTGAATCAAGTGGAAAAACTCAGGCTGACGAGTCAAAGTCTGTAACTCCTATCTTTTCTACTGAGAGAGAGGAGACTGCTCAAAGCAATGATCGGAATTATATGTGGTGTCAATGTGGATAATGGAGCAAAATTGATTGTTGCTGATTTTCTTTGAAAACCAGGTTCTTGTTATTGGAGTCTATGGGGCAGAGGGATGTTACTAGTCTGTTTACTTAGATTGTTACCTTGAGTGAAAGAAGACAAATGGGCCAACATCTGAAATAAAACAGATGTTCCAGTGATAGTCATGGGGGATATTTTGGGCCCCAGAAGTAGCTGCAGAGAAAACTTTAACGTTGTTCTCTTGAGTGAAATCATCCGACTATATCAAGTCATCCTGTCCGCTCCATGAAGAGGTCTCTAAAAGGTACAGGTTGCTGCAGACCCAAGGTGAATCTGACTCAACATCATAATATGGTGTAGTTGTTGTTGTTGCAGATTTCCCATCTGTCATCAGTGTAGTTAGTGTGCATTAGCTCAGAGGGATAACAAAGCTTGTTAACGATATTTTATGAGCGTTGCAGTCACGTACAGTTCAAAGTCTGTAAAACAATTGAATGATTTTGTGAATATTGGTATTTAACGGCTAAATCTGATCCAATTGACCAAGTTTGTAGTAGAATGACATGTGGGGACGAGTGAAGCGCCAAAAACTGAGCTAATGTAAAAAAGACATTTTTCCTGCACAGCAATTACAAAATATAGTCGTTTAACATTACTCTATAGATTGGAAGACCAACATACTGTATAATGTATCTCTGATAGTTTCACAAAAACACTTTTGTAATGTAATTGTAAACACAAATGCAAACTCTCTCAGTCACTCCATCCTCCTGACAGATGACATCTCCAGCACCAGGTCTACAAACACAGACCCCCTCACAGAGGCCCCAAGGTGGTGCAAGTGGTGCACATCAACATCTGCACGTCCAATTATCATGAACATATATTCGGGTCATAATTTCATCACGTGAACAGCACATGCACACTGACCTTTGTCAGCCTCATCCTGCCACTCTCACTCCTCTCCAAGCTCCTTCTCTTCAGGGGCGAGTCTCTGACCACCGGCAGCGGTTGCACCTCTTCCTCCCCGCACCAGTCCGAGCTCAGGACGCAACCCATATAGGTGGAAAGGGTCCTGGACTTTGGGACTTCTTCCTCCTCTCTCCACTCCGTCTTTTCTCTCTCTTCTGTCCTCCCTCCTCCTCTCTCCCTCTCTGTCCTCTTCCCCTCGTCCTCTGAACGGGCTCCTGGGCAGCTGTTTTTGTCAGCTGGAGAGGAGGAGGTGGAGGAGGAGGAGGACGCCCTTCCCCTTTTCCTGGCTGTCGTTCAATGCCGCTGCAGGGACAGAGGGAAGGATACACTCTGCATGCTCGCACTACCCCCTCCCCACCTTCCTCACACTTTAAAAACACCTCTCTCTCCAACTCAGTCCTGCCACATGTGGACTCCCCATTTTTCTGCCTCCACCCCCTTCTCACTGCTCGTCTTTGTTTCACACACACTTGCAAACACCCAAACTTTCTTAGTTTTTCTCCAACTTAACTTTCTCTCTGTTTTTCTTTAGGCCTGTCGATGACACCCACTCCATCCTCTGTCTCTGGACTCACACACATGACCCTCGGGTTAATGCTCGAGGACTCATCTCCCCATCCTGTGAAGCTCCTCTGTGTTTTCTCTCTCTATCTTCTTCTATCCCTTTTTCCTCTCCTCTTGTCGCTCCTCTTCTTCAGTCCTCACATCCCAGGAGCATGTCTCTATCCCTTCCTTCTCTCTCCCTCTCCTCCTGCTTCTACCCTCGACTATGGGTTGCCTCACTCTTACATATACAATTACCTCTCTGTTCTCACCCCCACCCCTCTCTGCTCCTCAGCTCCCCTCTTGTTTCCTGCTCCCAGATGCAGGCACTCGTGCCCTGAGATCTCGCAGCACATCGTTGGTATTGTTGAGAAAAACAAGCAAGAAAACCACAACAGTGACGACAGCTGTCAGGATGCTGCTCGAGCCAGTGATTCAGAGCGGACTGAGCCTCCCCTTGTTTACAATGCAAGTGCCTTGATTGTAGCAGGCCTGAGACAGGGTCTCATTCAGAAGCCACACCTCACATATAACAATGGATGTAAGACGTGTTCTGAAGAAATGTAAAATGTGTCCTTGTCATTGTTCACATGATATCTGCTCTGGACAGAGAAGACGCCTGTGTTTTTACTGCTGCTGCACAGTGTGAGACTTTAGCAGAGCTCATGTTTCTTTCCCTCACAGTCATTTTGCTGTTGTTTATTTCTCCTCCTTGAAGCCTGTTGGCTGCGACTCTGGAGAGTGAGACTGTACCCCTTAAAAGGCAAATTCTTGATGCGCCTCCAATAGACCACCCCCACCCCACCCTCCCTACTTTGTATTTACTCTCTACGTTCCCCCCTTTTCCTCTCATTTGTTTTTCTTCTTTCTCCCAGCACTTCTTTTTAAAAAAGAATCTTCCTTCAGACTGAAACCTCTGGCGGGGCTGACTTGTTGTTATAGGCATTTTGCCCCAGACAAGCCTTCCCAGGTGTCCTTCCTCTCCTCCCTTTCTATGCCCTACCACACATACATCCCTCCATCTTCTCCCCCACCCCTCCAGTTGACCCCAACCCCTCCTTTTGCTCCCCCTCAATTCCTCCCCTTTATGTTTTACTTTCAGTCAAGTTCTCAGACATAAGCTCAGGCTACTGACGGCGTTTTACAACGAGCCCCCCTCCTGGTTTTACATGGGGTGAAATTAACTCCTTCTAATCAACTCAGCTCCTGCCTGAGTCCAAGTATCCCCTTACCCTTGCATCTGGAAAATATGGGGACAGACAGGTGGCAGTTTGGCACTCTAAAGCCAATTAAAAATCCAAACCGGTCTGATTAAAAATATGGTGGTAAATAAAATTAAAAATTAAAAGCTCAGTTACGATCTGTAATCGTCTTTTTGGCAAAGATGTGGCAGAATATTCGGCAAATGTGTGGAAACTTGGCAGAAATTTGTCCTAGTCTGGATCAGTGAAGATTAATGACAGATTTCTGGAAGGTGGGAGATTTGGATTAGGAGGAATGGAGTGAGAGAGAGAGAATAACATCATAGTGAAGGGGTCAGAGGGACAAGATAAACCAAGTCCTAATATGGACAACCAGAGAGAAAGAGAGGAGAATTGTAATCTGAGGAAACAAACACTGAAGTCACAAAGGAGTACAGAAATAGACACAGTTGTGATGATGTCGTGGATGACGCTGCCTGAATCTCCCGTGAAGGCCTCGTGTCACAACAGAACATCTTTCAAGTCTCTCAAGTCTTTCCTCAACTTTAGAGATTGTAAACATATTTCACATTTTTTCCCCAAAGTTGTAAAATAGTTGTGTGCTCACACATTAATATCCCTCTGTGCTAAACAACCCTCTCTTTGGTTCCTGGGCTGTGTCCAAGCATCTGTCTTTGTGGGTCAGTTCTGGACAACCACACAATTATGTGTGTGTGTGTGTGTGTGTTTTAAATGTACATGGCAATAATATATTTGCCAGGCCACAGAGTAACCAAGGTCTTCCACGCCAAGGGTGTGTGCACTGGTTAAGCTCACATCTCATCAACAAGCACAAGACCCACAGCATGAGAAGGACGGGATGGAACTATTGCACTGTCACACACAAACACATCTGAATTATTGTTTTGTGTTTTCAGGGTTCGCTTCAGAGTTTCTCTGCCCACTCATAGGTGAATGTAAACTTAATGCAGATTTAACATTCTGAGGACAGGGGCTAATGATTATTCTATATTTTTCAATGTCCAAAACCAACAATTCAAGAGCGGCAGGAGGAAAATTCTGATTAATCAAGATGTAACCACATCAAGTAAAAGAATGAGCATGAGACAAAGTAAAGGGATCAAGTGAGACAGGATGAAAACTTCACACCAGTGTTGCCCTCTGTGGCTCTGAGCCCATGTAACAACAGCGGATTATGGACAGGAAAGTGAAAAAAAAGTCCATTATAATTGGAGGAAAAAAAAGCCATGCCAGCTGGGTAATGAAATAGAAAGGTACAAAAAGAAAAAAAATTGGAATGTTACAAAATCGGCCGGTGCAGGTCGAGATGTGGCGTTCACAGATTTTAGCTTTTCAATTATTAGGTAAGTGTTGCTTTTGCACAAAGCTCAGAAGGATTTACAGTCTCTCCATATTTGAGATTGATGGCAGATTTGACACAATGAACACAAAAGCCGGAAACAGAGGTCTGAAAAGCGTCTAGCTGAGTCATCATGGAAAAGAACGGAGGAAATTAAAATGAAAGTCAAGCCAGGCTGGAAATATGTCATATCCATGTGGTGACCATGGGACAATCATGCTGATAGAAAAGCATCCAGTTCTGCAGCTCCCTGTCTCTGCTGTGTAAAGAAAACAGGAGGCCAGGTGAAAAGTGGCATCCAGTAAAAGCTAGAGATGCACAGTGTACCTCCACAGCAGGAGACAGTACAGTGGTAGAGTTCTGCTTTGTGAAGCCAAACACCTGCAGCTGACAGGAGGTTACTGCCTTGTTAAAAACAACAACCTAGCTCTCACTCACAGGCTCACTGTCATTTTGGATATAATAAAAAAGTACCCTGACGAAACCAGTGTGATAGAGGTGGACAATGGTCTTTCATCAGTGTGTCACTGTCTCCGTTTAAACCAGTTTCACAGGGAGAAACAATGAGCCTCTCTCACGTCAGTTCAGTATGAACCAGCAGATGTCCCATATGTTTTCTGCTTTCTACTTTTTCAAGAAGAATCTCTCAGGTATTTACACATTTTTGCACAGTTTACAAGCTCAAGGGAAAATTACAGTGCTTTTGCTTTTACTACAAACATACTGAAGCATCCATGCTGTTTGCAAAAATAATTTTCAGATGCAAAGCTGAAGATTTGGGGTTTTCCATTGATTTCTATTCATATCTGTACAGTGTGAGAGTAAACTTGTAAAGACTTTTAGAGAGAGCGATGGGGGGTGTTTAATATTCATGAATAAGTTGATGTTTCTGATACAAAAACAACCAGAACTCCATTGTTTGGTTCATTGCTTGTTTGGTTTTGGCTGATTGGCTGGTAGATGTGTTTGGCTGGTTCGTTGGTTTGTTTGTTTGTTAGGCTGGTTATCTTATTGATTGATTGGCTGGCTGGTTTGATTTTGATGTCTGGCTGGTTGGCTGGTTGATTGGTTGGATGTCTGACTGGGTATCTTGCTGGCTGGTTGGCTGGTTGGCCAGTTGGCCAGCTGGTTGGTTGGCTGGCTGTTTGGCTGGTTAGTTGGCTGGTTGGCTGGTTGGTTGGTTGGCCAGTTGGCTGGTTAGTTGGCTGGTTGGTT